GCCTTCCCCAGACTCCATGACCGGCCCATGTTCCCCCCACACTGTCCGACTCTGCTGCCAGGTCTGCAGGCTGCCGCCAGACCACAACAACCAGGAGATGGTGAATTCTAGTCCTGCCTTAAGCATGAAAGCCGGCTGGGTGACTCTGGGATAGTCACTCTGCCTTATCCCAAACTGCCTCCTATGGTGGTGGTTGTGGGGAAAAATCTGAAGGGAAAGGAGTATTTATGTACATTTGCCACATTGAGTAACATAGAAAGAAATAAAGGTAGGATTTAAAACAACCTAATACATTTTTTTTAAAGGAAGGGGAAATCCAGCCAACAATCTCTTTGCCTATCAAAAATGCCAGTATTTTTTATAGAATAGGTAAGCTGCTCAAGTATTGCACTCCTTTCCTTTCTCTTCCTTTCTTTTTTCCTTCCTTCCTTCTTTTCCTTTCCTTTCCCTTCCTTTCCTTCCGCCTCTCCTTCTCCCTTCCCTTCCTTCTTTCCTTTCCTCTCCCTCTCCCTCCTCTCTTTCTCCCTTCCCTTTCTCCTTTCCTTTACTCTCCCTTCCCTTCCTCCTTCCCTTCCTTCCTTTTTTCTCCCTTCTTCCTTTCCTTTCCTTGACTTCCCTTCCCTTCCCATCCTTCTCCTTCTGCTTTCCCTCCCCTTTCCTTTCCTTTCCTTTCCTTTCCTCTCCTCACCTCTCCTCTCCTTTCCATTTTCCTTTCCTTTCCATTTTCCTTTCCTTTCCTTTCCTTTCCTCTCCTCTCCTCTCCTCTCCTCTCCTTTCCATTTTCCTTTCCTTTCCATTTTCCTTTCCTTTCCATTTTCCTTTCCATTTTCCTTTCCATTTTCCTTTCCTTTCCTTTCCTCTCCTCTCCTTTCCATTTTCCTTTCCTTTCCATTTTCCTTTCCTTTCCATTTTCCTTTCCTTTCCTTTCCTTTCCTTTCCTTTCCTTTCCATTTTCCTTTCCTTTCCATTTTCCTTCTTTCCTTTCCTTTCCTTTCCTTTCCTTTCCTTTCCTTTCCTTTCCTTTCCTTTCCTGTCCTGTCCTGTCCTGTCCTGTCCTGTCCTGTCTGTTCTTTTCCTTTTCTCTCTTCTCTTGGAATGGCATGCTTAATTTAATAACCAAATGACCGTAACCCACATCCTGGTTGTTTGCAAGCCGTTAAACCAAAAGCGAGACTAATAGATGGACGGGCCTCCGGCAAACCCATCCAGAGTTAACTCGAAACCTGGCTTAAGTATTGTGCAAATGCAGCTAGGCTACCAGGTCTTTCTCCCAATCGCTTCCTTGTGTTGTTTGAACACACTGTCCTTTGCAATGGGGGTGGGGGAGGAGGCAGCTGTGTTTTCACCAAGGCCAGGTTGCTTCCTTCTCACAAACCACGCGTGCTTCCCCCAAAAGCCCCACCGAGGATCTTCTTCGGCAGTGGGAGTGGGAAGTCCCCTCCTTCCTCGCCACGCCAAGCGAATCCAGGAGCTCGCTTGGCCACCAGCTCTGCCAAACCCCTGCAGTTGTGATGGAAATGTTTTTGACATCACCATGACAACGCCGTCCCACCCTCGGCTCCCGGCTCAGCCGAGGGAAGAAAAAGAGACAGGCTTCCCACTGTTGAGACCGACGGCACCTTTGGCAAACGCCCCCCCCCCCCCCCCCCCCCTGGGCCAGGAGATCACAAAAAGTCAGAGTTCATGGCCTACCATGGGAGCATTTTCCAAGTCTAAGGACCGTCTCTTTTGGAGAAGGCTCCGTTGCTCGGGGATGCCGACCCAAGAGAGTATTTATAGATCAGGGTTGAACCGTGGGGTCCTTGGTGTTCTCCGAGCTTGGTCGTTTTCTTGCAGATGTTTTATTACACAAATAGGTAACACTGTCAGTGCAGTGAGCACTGATGACGTTACCTAGTTTGGTCATGAAACGTCTGCAAGAAAACAGTCAAGTTCAAAGAACACTAGGGAGCCCACAGTCCTTATCCTCCTCCTCCTCCTCCCTACCTCCATCCATCCATTTCTCCTCCTCCTCCTCCTCCTCCAACCCCACTCTTTTCTAGCACTGATGACGTTACCTAGTTTGGTCATGAAACGTCTGCAAGAAAACAGTCAAGTTCAAAGAACACTAGGGAGCCCACAGTCCTTATCCTCCTCCTCTTCCTCCCTACCTCCATCCATCCATTTCTCCTCCTCCTCCTCCTCCTCCAACCCCACTCTTTTCTAGCACTGATGACATTACCTAGTTTGGTCATGAAACGTCTGCAAGAAAACAGTCAAGTTCAAAGAACACTAGGGATCCCACAGTCCTCCTCCTCCTCCTCCTCCCTACCTCCATCCATCCATCCATTTCTCCTCCTCCTCCTCCTCCAACCCCACTCTTTTCTAGCACTGATGACGTTACCTAGTTTGGTACTGAAATGTCTGCAAGAAAACAAGCTCAGAGAACATCAAGGAACCCACAGTTCTCCTCCTCCTCCTCCCTACCTCCATCCATCTATCCATCCATTTTTCTTCTTCCTCCTCCTCCCCACCTCCATCCATCTATCCATCCATTTTTCTTCTTCCTCCTCCTCCTCACCTCCATCCATCCATCCCTCCTCTTCCTCCTT